AGACGATCTCTGAGGTCCCTTCCAACCCAGGCCGTGCTGTGATTCAGTGATTCTATGATACGTGACAGAAAACAACCCTCGGAGCGGTTGCTGCAGCTTCCATCAAGGAGCCTTTTCCTCTGAGCTGGGAAAAGGCTCCTTTGCCCTTTGGCAGCCTAGCATGAATTAAAAAAAAGTTTATTTTCCCTCTCTTATCATATGTCCTTTAGCTTTTGGCTGTGGACCGGCAGCGTTGCCCGGCTCGCTGTCCTTCAGGGGTTGGGGGGGTTCTCGTGCTTAATGGCTCCGCTTGTTCTTGGCTACACGGGGAGTGAAAGGCGACGTTATTGCCTCACCTCGGTCAAAGCAGCCTGGCTGGGGATGTCCACAGGTCTATAAATATTGTGACTTAGAAGTGCTCCTCAGTCGACTGGCCAAAAAAAAATGTGGGAGCCTCCCGGGAAGACTTTGAATAAGACTGTCGTGGAATGAGTAAGGAATTACTCGTTAAGGAATGTATTGATATTATAATGAATTCTCTGAACAGAAATGAATTCTAAAGTGTTTTCCTTTCGTATCCCTTTCTTTCCAGGATCTCAAAAGCATTTAAGGGAAAACCGAGCCAGTTATATCCTGGGAATTATTTCTTTTTAATTAACCACATTAGGAAATTGCTATATTAGAAGGATTTATGCAAAACTAGCAGTGGATCAATGCTGGGAAAGATGCAGATTTCATCCTGTTTCAGTACATAAATGTGGTGGTTTTTTCCTGCAAATATTTAGGCCTTGCTTAGTGAGCACCATTCTTTTTTCAGTGCCTCAAGCGGTTGCACAGTCAAACCCTTTTACTGCCTGGTTTGACTCGGTTGGGCCTGGGGGTTATTGGTGAGGGTGAAAATGCTTTGGTCGGCCTCTTGTCCGGAGCTTTGCCGAGGTCAGCGGTTCCGCCGGCCGGGGGCTTGGCAAGAGCTTCGCTGAAAATCCGCGCACGCCTGCTCGCTCCCTTCGCCCTGAGGTGGTGTGAAATGTGGCACGAATCTGGCTGGGCGCGCTGGTCGGGTTTCAGATTTAAGTGGGAGACTAAATAGATCGCTTTGCTTCATATTGCTCAGTCATGACTCCACAGAGATTAACAAAAAGTTAATACCCGCTGATCCTGTAAAGCTTTCTATATATAGGGTCTGTCGTTCCTGTAGTCTTCCTGCTCTTCAGAATCTCTTATTTTAGTTTCAGCTCTGGTTCTGTTTCTGGCACACGCTTCCCCAGAAGCGTATTATTTTAGGAGGACCCGTAGACAGGGGTTTGCCTGCAGGCTGCTGGGACGGTCGAGTGTGACCTTAGGAGCCTGTGTTCGTCTGTGCTGAGCTCTACATGATTGAACTCTTCTGTACTCTTCTATTATTTTTATTTTTTATTCCCCTCCTCGTCACTCAGTGCTTTGCATTCAGCTCCCAAAAGGTTACCGGGAAACGTAAGCTAACGTTCAAACAGTTTGGGGATCGGTGCTGCAGGAAATAGCAATAATGCTGTCTGGTTCAAGGCTGAAAACCTGCGTGTTGGTGTTCTGCACCGAGCGCCGGCGCCGACCGAGATGTGGCAACGAGATACACGTGAAGGGTTCGGTGACGCTGCTCCCGTGCGCTCTTGTGTGTGCAGGAAATATTCAAGGCTGGCTACAGTGTGTTTGTCGATCAGTTGCGTGTTGTATAAAGTTGTTCTTTCATCGTCACAAATTGAGGATTTATTTTCTAATCGAAGTTGTTGAGGTTGTTTTTTTTTCCATTTGTACTTACGAGTTTAACCTTCCCGTGGACCTGGCTCACTCTCAGGTGAAGGGTTTAGAATCGCAGGTTGTTGAGCACTCGGGGGCAATGCCCGCTCCAGTTTTGGGCGATATGATCCACTGGTCCGTACCCGAGGCCAGCTGAGTATCTCTCGAGGAAAGGGCTGTTTGCTGTTCAGCGTGCCTTCCCTAAACACGAACATTTCCGTTGCAATGATATTTCTATCCCAAATACAGCCGTTTATGAACATCTTAAATTTCTTCAAGTAAATAAATTTACCTGCTTTTTTCTGTCAGACCTTCTGAGTCCCGTTGTGCTGGAGAGCAGGGCTGCTCTCTGAGGGGCCTTGGTAGGGTGCAGGCATGGGTCAGGCAGGAGCTCCCTGAAGGTCAACAACTCTTGACTGGTAAAAAGTCTCAAAGTAAAAGTTGCGGTTCCACCTGAGCCTGCCAGTGCCGTGGACAAGCTGCCTTTTAGCCTTCTCTAAGTGCGAGGTTTGAGGGAAAAGCCAGAAGATAAATTACTCTGCTTCTGTAAGAGCTGTCAGAGCAGTGGAGCTGCTCCTCTGAGTTACCTGTTTTCACCGGGTGTCCTGATGGTGGGTTCGAACTCTGGTACGGCTGAACTCTGAGTGACGGCGCCGTGAGTTGTCCTTACGTGACTGCGGCTCAGAGTGCAAAGTCGCTGCGATAGAATTCAGTTGCTGCCTTTCCTCACCCGGCTCAGAATCACAGAACTGTCGAGGCTGGCAAAGCCCTCCGAGATCGTCCAGCCCATTATTCAACAGCATCGCAACAGCCAGACCAGGGCACCCAGTGCCACATCCAGCCTCTCCTCACACCCCCCCAGGGACGGGGACTCCCCCTGCCCTGGGCAGAGCATCCCAGGGCCTGAGCACCCTCTCCGGGAGGAAGGGCTGCCTGAGACCCAACCCCAACCTCCCCTGACGCAGTTTCAGGCCGGGCCCTCTCGTCCTGGGAGAAGAGCCCGACCCCCCTGACTGCCCCCTCCTTTCGGGTTGTTGTAGAGTGAGAAGGTCTCCTCCGCGTCTCCTCCAGGCTAAACACCCCATTGCAGTGTCTCTGCACTACAGGCCTTGTGCAATTTCTTTTTATTGTCACCTGCTGTTTATTAAAAGTAATTTTCTCTGCTTCCATCAACAAGCTTTTATGACTTGAAGCATGACTATCACTCGAGAACATTCGTGGAAGACTGGAGAATGGTTGGGGTAATACACAGAATTTCGTTTAAAGGGGACAAATGTTAATTAAAGGCAGGCCGGTGGACCTCCAGGTTGAAAATATCTTTTTGGTGGAAGGTAATGGTGTTGAGGCAGGATTTTACTTTGAAGCTATGTAATCTGTTTCTGACCTGGTTCCTCTGGCAGTTGATTTGTTTATGTGGAATGTGAAATGCCCTGGTATGTGTGTGGCTTTCTAGAGAGAGATTATTTCTCTGCATTTAAATTCTCATGATTTCTCTAGCGGATACCTTCAGTGCTTAAATAATTGTTAATTGTGAAAAGAGAGAATCTGGGACTGAGCTAACCCTACTTATAAATAAAATCCCTTCAGATATTTTTAAATTGTGCATTTGCCACATCTCTCCCTCGAGCACAGATGTGATTGTTTCAAAAGAAATTAAGGACCCGTATTTCAACGTAAATGTTGTGACACTTGGCTCTCTTGAATTACTGAGAAATCCAGGCAGATAACCGGTGCTCGCCAAGATGTGTAAATGGCAAAATCACTCATTAAGCCATGAGCCAGGGAGAGGGTGTCCTTGCCAGCCACAAGTCCCTCACCCAGCGAGACCCGGGCTGTGTCCCTTCGGACGTGAGGACCGTCGTGGCATCATGCCCTCTGTATGCAGCGTGCTCAGAAGCAGAGTAACTCGTTGTATTTTCATAGGATCACAGACTCACTCAGGTTGGAAAAGCCCCTTGGGATCATTGAGTCCAACCAGGAACCCTGCTCAACAGAGCTCACCCCTAAACCATCTGCCCCAACCCCACATCTCAACGAGCTTCAAACACCCCCAGGGGTGGGGACTCAACCCCCTCCCTGGGCAGCCTGTGCCACGCTCTGACCGCTCTGGCTGGGAAAATATTTTTCCTGCTGTCCAGTGTGACCCTGCCCTGGTGCCGTTTGCAGCCGTTCCCTCTGGTTCTATCGCTCATTACCCCTGAGAAGAGACCAGCCCCGACCTCTCTACACCGTCCTGTCAGGCAGTTGCAGAGCGATGAGGGCTCCCCTCAGCCTCCTCTGCTCCAAACCCAACAGCCCCAGCTCCTTCCATCGCTCGTCACAAGATTTATTCTCCAGGCCCTTCCCCAGCTCCGTCGCCCTCCTCTGCGCTCGCTCCAGCACTGCAAGATCTCTCTGTTATTGAGGTGCCAAAAACTGGACACGGCCACCTTCCGTCTGTGGGCTGTGAGTGATGTTTGCCCAGTTCTTTGTCGGCCGTAACGACGGGCTGGTCTGTGACTCCCAGTGAAGTGCCTGGTGTGTGTTCTAGGAAGGGTGGAACCCTCCAGAGACACGATCACCATGGAACAACTCGTTTTCAGAAATCTCTGAAATTAGAGCTCTGGACTGAGCGCTGTAATTGTGAGGGAGGAGAAGGGAAACCACTGAAAAAACATCTTGGTGTGCCTTGGTTTTATAATGCGTTTGTGATGTTTCTTGTTAATGAATTATCAGAATCACTTAAATAGTGAGTGTGGGAGACTTGGTGTTTGCAGATGACGAGTTCTGCTGCTTCTCCCCACTAACATGCTGGAAACCTGCAAAATGGGAAAAGGAGCACAAATGTCTGTGTTTGTTTGTTTTCCTCAGGCGAAATACATCTCCCAGTGCATCGATGAGATCAAGCAGGAGCTAAAGCAGGACAACATTGCAGTGAAGGCAAACGCAGTCTGCAAACTCACCTACGTAAGTGCCTTGAAGGGATGCAACGTCATCGTGTCTTTATTTTTTGC